TCATTATTTGTAGAGATCTAAATGACACCTGTACGTGTCTATGCATTATTTGCAGAGATCTAAATTACACATGCGCGTGCATATGCATCATTTGTAGAGGTCTGAATGACACCTGCACGTGTATATGCTTCATTTGTAGAGGTCCGAATGACACCTGCACGTGTCTATGCATTATTTGCAGAGATCTAAATGACACCCGCACGTGTTTATGCATGTTTAGAGATCTAAATGACACGTACACGTGTCTATGCATCATTTGAAGTGGTCTAAATGACACATGCACGTGTCTATGCATTATTTGTAGAGATCTAAATGACACCCGCACGTGTCTATGCATCATTTGTAGAAGTCTAAATGACACCTGCACGTGTCTATGCATCATTTGTAGAGGTCTAAATGACACCTGCACGTGTCTATGCATCATTTGTAGAGGTCTAAATGACACCTGCATGTGTCTATGCATCATTTGTAGAGGTCTAAATGACACCTGCACGTGTATATGCATCATTTGTAGAGATCTAAATGACACCTGCACGTGTCTATGCATCATTTGTAGAGATCTAAATGACACCCGCACGTGTCTATGCATCATTTGCAGTGGTCTAAATGACACGTACACGTGTCTATGCATTATTTTTAGAGATCTAAATGACACCCACACGTGTCTATGCATTATTCATAGAGATCTAAATGACACACGCGCGTGCATATGTGTCATGAATTTGTTTTTGCGTATCTGTTAACCGACTTAATTAACTGATTATTAGCGAATTGCTGTGTTATGTCTGTCATCGTTTAGGTCTATTTGAAGTTTTGGACGGAACTTGGCTCAGTGGTTTGGAACTAATTACAAGATACCGTCGCTATTCTGACATCCATAGTTATTAATGTAGTGAACGATTAATCAAAAGATATGACGTATTCAGTACTTAGTGTGATTGGCTTTGTGATTGAAGGTTACGCCCTAGAGTCTTTTTACTGCTTTGTAATTGGTTAGAGTTGTGAAAATGAATAAAGAGAGTTTGAGTTGGTCTTGAAGAGTACTCCAATAGACGCAGTCTAAGTCTAGAGCAGTCCGAGAGAGTCTTGGGGCGAGCCTTGACGCAGTCCAGTCTTGGGCGAGTCTTGGGTCAGCCTTGCGATATAGTCTTGGGGACTTTTCCCCAGGGCGCTGTGTCTTATAGAGTGCTCGATTGACCGACTAAGACGAGAGCTGAAACGTATTTCGTTGTGTGTGCCTTATTTGACTGTAAAGTATAAGTGACTTTCCCGATCCCGTACCTCAAGGGGACGAGATAGAGAAGCGAGACGAGTTTTCCCCCTGACAAGTGTGGAGAACCCCCGATGAGGAGATTTACCCCCGTGATATATGCATCATTTGTAGAGGCCTAAATGACACCTGCACGTGTATATGCATCATTTGTAGAGTTCTAAATGACACATGCACGTGTCTATGCATCATTTGTAGAGGCCTAAATGACACCTGCACATGTATATGCATCATTTGTAGAGTTCTAAATGACACCTGCACGTGTCTATGCATCATTTGTAGAGGCCTAAATGACACCTGCACGTGTCTATGCATCATTTGTAGAGATCTAAATGACACCCACACGTGTCTATGCATTATTCATAGAGATCTAAATGACACACGCGCGTGCATATGCATCATTTGTAGAGTTCTAAATGACACCTGCACGTGTCTATGCATCATTTGTAGAGGTCTGAATGACACCTGCACGTGTATATGCATCATTTGTAGAGATCTAAATGACACCTGCACGTGTTTATGCATCATTTGTAGAGATCTAAATGACACCCGCACGTGTCTATGCATCATTTGCAGTGGTCTAAATGACACGTACACGTGTCTATGCATTATTTTTAGAGATCTAAATGACACCCACACGTGTCTATGCATTATTCATAGAGATCTAAATGACACACGCGCGTGCATATGCATCATTTGTAGAGATCTAAATGACACCTGCGCGTGTCTATGCATCATTTGTAGAGGTGTAAATGACACCTGCACGTGTCTATGCATCATTTGTAGAGGTCTAAATGACACCTGCACGTGTCTATGCATCATTTGTAGAGGTCTAGATGACACCTGTACGTGTCCATGCATCATTTGTAGAGTTCTAAATTACACCTGCACGTGTCTATGCATCATTTGTAGAGGCCTAAATGACACCTGTACGTGTCCATGCGTTCAGAATTATTTAATACGCCGTGACGTGTCTAGGCATTACGACAGAGATCTATTTCCGATGTAGCTTCCTCCAGAATACAAATAATATAATTTACAATTGTTATTTTTCAAGATAATGAAAGAGATACGGAAGGAGAATATTTTGAAGACATTAAAGATGGACAATGGTTGGGCGTGTCATTAACAAGGCAACAGAGAGTGAACGGTGATACTAAAATATCTGTAAGTCCATCTATGTTATTTTACAAATCCTATAAAGCCTGGCTTCATTGCAGCTGTTTCTCTTATAGTGTCCGTCATGTGAACTGTGGGAAGAATGAAGATTTGAGTCAGACTCTGCTTCTGCAATGAAGCAATCTGATTGGCCATGAAGTACTAGGTGTATCTTGTCTCCATTGTACGGCCTATTCAGATATGTATTTAACCAATTTTGTTATATGACATAATTGAACAGTTACATTAGAAGTTTTTCAGAACAATACTAGGTGTGAAATGAAGCATGTAGAGCTGAACTCATAGATATTCAGGAAAATCTTATTACAATCGTTTCCACCAAACCCCGAACTTGACTTTGTATAAAATGTTACTAGTAATACACTACTGAAGTTGTTTTGTAACTTTGCGAGTAAATGTTTGCAATTTGCTGTAGATATTATCAAAGTTGCGGTAAAATCAAAGAGTTGTTTATATTGGAAACCAGACGTGCGTGAAAGACGTGCTGTCAACAAATATAACAATAACCAATCAACGCAAAGATCGCGATGTTACCCGTGATAGATCTACTCTCAAATTTGTTGAGAAATAACAACTTGACCATGTTTCGAAGTCGACCCGGTACGGCAACGCCTCATGCAGTACGTGGAAATATAGTGGACATGTTTTTTAGTGGACGTTCTTACGGGGATATCTCAATAATTGTTGGTGTTTCTAAATCCACAGCCTACTCCATATGTCAGAAATTTACATCCACTGCAAATTTTGATCGAGAAACTTGTGGCCTAACGGAATTTTCGAAACTCACTCATAATGTATTACAGCACATCGAGTACTACAAAAATCTAAGCCTAGTATTTATTTGAAAGAGATTCAAAACAAACTGATGGCCGATCGAGTCTGCACAGAGGAGAATGTTCCAAGCGTTACGACTATACATCGTGGTATGATGCAGCATTTAGGTATGACACGTCCACAACAGAGAGAAACCAGGAGTTGACGCTTAACTTTAAGCACAGTCCCTCTACTGTGCTTTAAGCTATTACCCGTATGTACCAATAACCCCCTTAAATTAGTGTCACGGTACCAGGCGGGTAATTTATGTGATTACTTCAAAAAACGGGATTATCCTCGTAATGCTACTGGGAAAGCATTGGCCAAGGTTATGTCAATGTCAAGAACGGATTGTATTGGATCTACGATTTCCCGTGATAATCAGGATCGTGTAATTTTGGCACTTACATATCATCCTTTAAATGTCAGGATTTAAAAATATAATGTACAAACATTTTCACATTTTACAGACCAGCGAGGAGAATAGTTCAACGTTTCCACAAATGCCTACTACCGCCTGGCGCTGTGACACTAATTTAAGGGGGTACATACTGGTGAAAAGGGAGACCCAGAGAAATATGGTTCTGTCCCGTGTAATCGACCCAGGTGTAATACAGATTTATTACAGATTCTAATCGTATATTGGTCCCAAGGGAAATGTTGAGGTCAAACATGGTTTCAGTTGTATTACCATGAATGTTGTATATTGTTTTTCATGTAATAAATGCGGGAAATTTTATATATACGTTTTTATCTGGTTTCACTTCATTTTAATTCTAGTGGACATAACATTACAGATATTTCTATTTCTTGTATATGTGTTGTCAATGGCAACGAGAATCAGCTCAGGCGTGTCGAGGAGGAAACTATATTCCGCCTTCGAACTGAAGAAAAAGAAAATGGCCGCCAGTCGGCCATCTTGGATCGAATCTCGAAAAAAAAGTGATGTGCACCAATAACCCAATATGCATGATCACCATACAAAGTTTGTATAATGAAATTGTTTGCACGTATCTGTTGATCGACTTAATTAGCTGATTGCTAGCGAATGGCTGTGTTATGTCTGTCATCGTTTAGGCCCATGTGAGGTCCTGGACGGAACTTGGCTCAGTGATTTGGAACTAACTAACTAACTAACGATATAACCGACGCTATCCGGACTACTATTTCTGACAGTTAGTATTCGTAGTGAACGATTAATCAAAATATATGACGTGTCCAGTACTTAGTGTGATTGGTTGAATGTGTGAAGGCCACGCCTTAGAGTCTTTTAACTTCTTTGTAATTGGTTAAGGTTTTGAAAGTGAATAAAGTTGTTTTAGTTTTAGTCTTGGCGAGAACACCACGACAGACGCAGTCTTGGGGCAGTCTAGAGAGAGTCTTGGGCCAGCCTTGTGATAGTCTTGGGGACTTTTCCCCAGGGCGCTGTGTATTATAGAGTGCTCGACTGACCGACTAAGACGAGAGTTGAAACGTATTTTGTTATGTGCGTCTATTTGACTGTAAAGTTTAAGTGACGTTCCCGATCCCGTACCTCGAGGGGACGCGATAGAGAGACAAGACGTGATTCCCCTCTGACACGTGTGGAGAACCCAGAGGAAGAGATTTTCCCCCTGATATTTAATTGAAATCGCCCTGTTCAGCTCCGAGAAACAGTTCCGGACACGTTTAAATATCAGAATTTAGCAAATTTGAGGGACAAAATGGGTGCCAGAGTCAGCCATATTTAATCGAATCATAACGAAAATTGGCGTGCATATGTAGGTCATCATACATTGTCTGTATACCAAGCTTGAACGGATGTGATTAGTTTTAGGTAAAAGTCCATGCATATAATTAACCTAATTTGCATAATGATTAGTCATTTTCGGCTTTTCCATTGATATCTCAGGTACTAATCATCACATTTCAATGAAATTTGCATAGATACATAGGACGATGCACAGACAGATATTTTTTTTATTCAACAAATAGATTTACATGGTCAAGTACAAAAAACAAAACAAAACAATAACAGCCAACGCTGTATGCCAACAACTACTTATAAAAATATAAGCTATTATATAAAATATAACACTAAGTATTGCGTTAGTGGACCCCATCGGTTTCTGAATAGAGCACTTTTGTCATTGAATCTGTTTTTCTAAATTAAACACGTTTTTAATTTTACAAATGAATAGTCTGAAAGAGGATATTTTTCTGTCTTGTCTACAATCATATATAAATTGTTTTGCAATGATTATAATGTAGAGAGAGTCACGTGACCATGTTTGGGTGAGCAACCACACTACATCGGCTCCACTTTGTTAAAAAGTTTCTTGAAGGAATAGAATACGCGCTCCACATATGAGATAGAAGTGTAAAGGTACAGAGAACACGCTGACAAAATGTCATCAAGGAATACAAAGGAAAAGTGAAAAAACTGAAGGAAAAGGAAACTAAGGAAAAGAAACTTATGGAAGCATACATGGCATCGAAGACAAGCGCGAAGGAGACCAAAAAGGGGGATGATGAAGAATCAGGGTCCGAAAATGATGAAGTCTCTTGTCAGATTTGTCAGTAACCCCAACTCGGATTAAAATATTTTGGATGGGGAATTACCTCCCGAGGGAGGGTCTCCCATCCCTGGAATAGCATGTGTACGCTCGCGCAATCATTCCCTTTATAAATCCGACCATCTTTGATATTGGTCATTTCTTTTGGAGAGGCGGGTGCGGATGTAAGTATCATCCTATATTCCATAGTTAGAAGAACTAATAGGCGGCTTCGCTGCCAGTTCTAACAAACTATGTCATATAGAATGATGCCATCATACTGTTATGATAACTAAAAGTTATCTAACAACTGGTTAGTGTCCCAAGCAAAATTAGGCAAAAGAAATGAAACAAAATCTATCACCCATAACATGAAATCGTGAACACTTTTAATGCCAAAACGAACATCCTAGCAGCTCTATATGACTGCTAAGAGTATTTAAACAGCAAGAAATACAATACTGGCCTAATAACGTATAGGCTGAAAGCTAGTCTATAAAATAACAATTAATCACTTAACTAATTGTTACTATGGATCATCAATTAAACATTGTCCAGCCACAAACCTACCCAGTCTAAATAATCCTTCAGACTGGTAAGAGAGGTCTTTCAGGTAGTGATTAACGAATGTATTGGGACTTTTCCAATATCCTGACTCCAATACATTGGCCAAAGTAGCCCCGTGAGAATGCCACAGAGTTACCTAGCCCCCTCAGTTGATGGATTCCGACTGCTTGAATTCCCCTGAGTCAGTTTTATCTTCGTTGTAGGCTCTGTATACTGTTTCCTTAAACCAACGAGATAAGGTGTTAGAAGTGGCTGACGTGCTAGTTTTGCCTGTATGATGACACACAAACATAGCCCTTTGATTAAAACGTAAATGCTCGTAGTGCAAAATGGCTTTTACCGGACACAAAGCCTTCTCCAGTGAATTATTAAGTTCAGCCTGTCTATTGAAGGAAGGTATGATAATATCAGTAGCCTCCTGAAGCAATGGTTGATTCTTGGCCCTGAATTCCAACACCGTTCTCAGTATGATTTTGCCTGGAAGAACCTGAGTGTCTTTCTAGACCACACCTCCAATGATGCTCTACTCATCGGTTCATAAGGGGCATGTCTCAAAGAATTCAGCACTTGGATAAAGACCAGTCTGGCTGGGTTCTTGGGCTCCGTGGACCCTGCTCCCTGGTTAAGCCCTTCAAAGAAAGAAAGCTTCAATTCCGGGCAATTCAGAAATGCTTAACCCCAAACTAATATGCAATACTGAATTCAGAGACGTCCTGACATTTCTTATTGCGTCTGCTTTCAGCTTCTTTGTATCAAACAAATATGAGAAGTAGTTTGTCAGGTCTGGAATAGTGGGATAGAGTGGATGCAAGTTTCTTTCACAACACCAAGCTCTATATGCCCTCCAGTGACTCTGGTACAACCCAGTAGTGGATTCTCTGACTTGTCTACACATACGTTATGATACCTCGTCTGAAAATCCGTGCAGTCTGTACAATTGCTTGATAGCCTCCATGCGTGTAACTGGTACAAGGTGGGGCTTACCAGGATGCAATCGGACTGATGATGTAAGCCTGGTTGTGATAGCAACTGGGGGTCGTGGGCCCGGGGGTGGGGGGTGGTTGGGGGTTGGGGGGTGGCTACTTCCACATTAAGTAGGTTAGGGTGTGCAGCCCACCTCTCGTAAACCATACTCACTTCTAAACCATTTTTTTTCGTGTTTTCAGCAAAAAAACACACCAAACTCACAACTTTCGCAACCAGTGAGCGGCGCATCCGGGCCATGCATTTTTTTTAGCCTTTCCCGGTATTTAGCTTTGAATATAAGAACCTGTAAAAAAGGAAATAAATGCTACACACACTAAACTAAACCATTCATTCATTGATAATGACACCCCAGTCGGGCGGCACATACCCGTATTGCACTTCTATGCAAGTAGCCCCCCAAGCATTGTCAAATTGGAGGGTCAGTGTTGGTACTCTCACGGTTAGGGTACAAGTAGGGGAGTAATGGTGATTGCCAGCAATATCAAAATATCAGTAAGCAGGTTTATTCCGGACCCACAGGGGAGGTTTATTTTATTAAAAGCAGTTATTGATGATATCCAATATTTATTAGTGAACACATATGCCCCTAACAGAGAATCCGAGCACAAGAAATATTTAGCCAAAATTGGTGGACTCTTATTAGAAAATTTTACAGACAAGGAGCACATAATCTGGGGGGGGGGGGTGATTTAAATTTTCCGGTGGATATAAGCATAGACAGAGATGGGGGAAATATGAGACCATGGCACCAGTCAGTATAGAAAAACTGCAGGATATTATGGAACAATCTGATCTAGTGGACATTTGGAGACTGCATCACCAAAATGAAAAAAAGATTTACTTGGCGGAGATGCCACCCCACAGTCATTCAAAACAGACTTGACTATCTCATGATTTCCAATGATTTACAAAGCAACATAGATCGAATTGAAATTATCCCTGGATTCTCCTCTGACAACTCTGCTGTTAAATTATGTAAAGTTTTGAATCAGAGAATTCACAATTGACTATAGCAGAAATAAAGCCAAAATCTGATGGGAAAAAAATTGAAAAGTTAGAAAATGAACTAAACCAATGGGAGAAAATTTGTTCATGGACCCCAAGTGATGGAAATTTGAATGAATTGGAAAGAATTAAAACTGAGTTGGAATTGGAGTATGATTACATCACAGAAGGATTGATAATCCGCTCCCGTGTGGGATGGTACGATTAAACAGAGATTAAACTCTTTTATTCAAGACTCTACTCTGAATCTAATACTAATGAGCAACACATAAATGATTTTTTAAATTGTACAGTACCCCAATTGAGCACACTAAAAAGTTGTTATATGAAGGACCATTAACTATGGGGGAGCTCTTTGCGGTCCTGTCCGAAATGCCGAAAAACAAAAGTCCTGGTAATGACGGACTGTCAACCGAATTCTACAAGGCATTCTGGCCTATAGTTGGTAAATTGGTAAGGGAATCTTTGAACGAAGGACACCGTGCAGGAGAATTCTCAGTGTCACAAAGACAAAGCATAATAACGCTAATAGAAAAACAAGG